TTATTTTGCAGCTCTAAGGCATACACATGATGGATTGCTATGTCTTCTTGATTGATTGGCCTTTTTACCGTCTTACAATGTCCCTCTCTGTCTCTGGTAATTTTCTTTGCTCTGAAATATATTTCATCTGATATTACTATAGCCTCTCCTGCTTTCCTGTGATTAATGTTTGCGTGATACCTCTTCTTCCGTCTCTTTACTTTCAACCTGTCTATATTATTATACTTAAGGCGAGCTCCTTGTAGATAGTCTATTGTTGGGCCATGTTTTTTTAATGCAATCTGCCAATCTCTTTTAAGTAGTTTATTTAAGCCATTTGCATTTTATGCTTCTCTGTTTTTACTGCCTTCTGTAGGTTGTTTGAAATACTCATTGCATTCTTCAGTTCCAAAAGTTACATATGGTTCTTCTTCATATCTTGTATTTCTTTGCTGAGGCTCTCTAGTTTTCATTTGTGTAAAGTGTATTCATAACTGCTCATTGAAGTCTTTTTATCATGACAGCTTTAAAATCTATGTCAGATCATTCTAGATCTCTGTCATTTCAGTGTTAGCCTTTATTGATTGTCTTTTTTCATCTAGTTACAGATCTTCCTGGTTGTTGTATGTTGAATTCTGAGCTCATTTTTTGTTAATACCTGGATGACTTTTTTTTTTTATTGTGGTAACATTGGATTATGACATTATATAACTTTCAGGTGTACATCATAATATATTTCGAATTCTGTGTAGATTGCATCATGTTCACCACCCAAAGACTAAATACAGTCCATCACCACACACGTGTGCCTAATCACTCCTTTCACCCTCCTCATTCTCCCCTTTGCCTCTGGTAACCACTAATCCAGTCTCTGTTGCTATGTGTTTGTTTGTCGTTGTTGTTGTCTTCTACTTATGAGTGAGATCATACGGTATTTGACTTTCTTCCTCTGACTTATTTCACTCATCATAATACCCTCAAGGTCCATCCATGTTGTTACCAATGGCAGGATTTCATCCTTTTTTATGGCTGAGTAATATTCCGTTGTGTATATATACCACATCTTCTTTATCCACTCATCCCTTGATAGGCACTTAGGTTGTTTCCAAGTATTGGCTATCATGAATAATGCTGCAATGAACATAGGGGTGCGTGTATCGTTACGCATTCATGTTTTCATGTTCTTTGGATAAATACCCAGCAATGGAATAGCTGGATCATATGGTAGATCTATTCTTAATTTTCTGAGGAAACTTCATACTGTTTTCCATAGTGGCTGCACCAGTTTGCACTCCCACCAGCAGTGTATGAGACTTCCCTTCTCTCCACATCCTCTCCAACACTTGTTTCCTGTCTTGTTAATTATAGCCATTCTGACGGGAGTGAGGTGACATCTCATTGTAGTTTTGATTTGAGTTTCCTTGAGAGTTAATGATGCTGAACATCTTTTCATGCGTCTGTTGGCCATTGGTATATCTTCTTTGGAGAAATCTCTGTTCAGATCTTTTGCCCATTTTTTTATTAGTACCTGGACAATTTTGTACTATGTTATGAGATTCTGTATCTTATTTAAACCTGCAGTTTTAGGTGGCTCTCTCTGACATTGTTCCAGCAGGAGAATGTTGTGGGGTTTGCTGCCTGATTATTGTCACATAAGCTAGAAGTCCAGTTTCCCTGCTCAGTCTTTGTTGACACCAAAGCTGGGCTGACTCCTCATTACTGCTGAGCAGGGATGGGAGCTCTGGCTCCCTGCATGGTCCCCACTGACACTCTGTGTGTTGGGGAGCACTCATTGCTGGCAAGGGTGGAAGTTTCAGGTCTCTGCCTGGCCTTTTCTGATACCACCACAGTGAAGTATTAGGGCAACTCCTTTCAGCTTTTCAGGGATAGAAGTCCAGGCTCCCCACTCAACCTTTGCTGGCATGGTTGGGGGCCACAGTTTTCTCCAGAGTAAGGCAGTTATTGTCTAAAAGTTTTCCTTTTTGCTAAATGGCCCCTTTCCTGATCCTTTAGGATCGGGCTTCTTCAGCTCAAGTTTGAGATACATGAGGCAAAAAGGAACCCTAAGTAACTCGCCTCCTTGTCATTTCTCAGGTTCTGAGGTCCCTAGCCTGTCTGCCTTTTCCTCTCCACCTTTCAGTCTTTTTATGTTTGTTTTATACATAATGTTCAGGGTTTTTCATTATGCTTAGCAGGAAGTACATAGAAAAGAATATACATTCCATCTTTCTGTAAGATGTTTTCAATTGGATTTTTACTAAAAATAATAAATACATTAAAAACAATAAGGGAAGCTATTAGCAATATGGCCAGCCCTGATGTTCTAGTGATGAAGATTCAGCGCTGTCATCACCACAGCCAGGGTTCCTTTCCCGATCAGGGAACTAACCGCCCATCTGTCGGCTGTCATACTGTGGTGGTTGCATGTTGTTGTGATGCTGAAAGCTATGCCACTTGTATTTCACATACCGGCAAGGTCACCTGGGATGGAGAGATTTCAGCACAGCTTCCAGACTAGGACAGACTAGGAAGAAGGCCCGGGATACCCATTTCCAAAAACGTTGGCCATGAAAACCCTGTGAATAGCAGCAGAGCATTGTCTGATGTAGCGCCAGAAGGTGAGAGGATGCTGCAAAAAGACAGGGCAAGTTTTCACCTCTGCTGTACACAGAGTCGCTGGGAGTCAGAATCGACTGGAAAGCACTACCAACAAATTAGCAATATAAACAAATCCAAGAAAACACCAGTAAGAACCAAGCAGAGATAACAATATTGCATCAGTGGTAATGTCCTGTTTTTGGTGACTGGCCTGCATGATTAAAGGCATACGCTGAAGTACTTAGTGATAAGGGGGTATTTAGTGATAAAAGGAGATTATATCTGCAATTTCCTCTTAAATGGCTCAGGGAAAACCAACATGGTATTACACATACGTATAGAGATCATGTTAAAGAAAACGGTAAAATGTTAACATTTAGGGAATCTGAGTAAAGGCATATGGTAATCCTTTGTACTATTTTTGCAACTTTTCTATAAGTCTGAAATTATTTCAAAATGAAAAGTGAATAAAAGTTAAAAAATCTACCATGGAGAGAGGAGACAGAACCAAGCATAATATTAGGTACAAAACAAACACAAGAACACATATTAAATTAAATTAAATTAAAACATGTATTAAAGCACATAAATTGTTGTTGTTGTTACATGCCATCGTCGGCTCCGACTCCTGGTGACCCTATGAAAGAGTGATGTCCACAAGGTCCTGTCCTCAACAGCCTTACTCAGCTCCTGTAGACTATGCCTATGGCTTCCTTTATAGAGCGAATCTGTCTCGTATCTGGTCTTCCTCTTTCCCTGCTGCCTTCTACTTTTCCCAGCATTATTGTCTTTTCCAAAGAATCTTGCCTTCTCCTGGTGTGCCCAAAGTAGGACAGCCTCAGTTTTACTATTTTTTGCTTCCAGAAATAGTTCAGGCTTAATTTGCTCTAGGACCCAAGTACACAAGTGATGAGATAAATTGTAGAAGATACAATTTGGAAGTTTTGGAAGATCAAAACTGCAGAATCCATAATGCAAAGGAAGAGATTCATAACTGATTGACAACGACAATATTACATATCAAAACTTGTGGGATGCTTAAAAAATGGTGCTTTTACTTCAATTCATAGCTTTAACTATTTATAATAGACAAGAAGAAAATCTCAAAATTAGTGAACTAAGTGTCCATCTTAGTGAGTCAGAAAAAGAAAAATAGAATTAACCCAAAAAAGCATAAATTAACAAAAGAATAAAGATAGAATAGAGAAGATCAAAAAAGCCAAAATTTCTCTCATATAAAAAAATACATCTAACAAACTTGATAAGCCACTAGCAGGATTGATTGAGAACAAGAGAGAAGACATAAGTAAATTATATTCTGGACGAAAATAGGGACATATTTAGGAATAAAGCAGAGAATGTTCCATAACCAAAGCTGGAAAAATTATCCACATGGAAAATAACTTGGATGCTATGATAATTACATATAATATACAAAAAAATCAACTCCAGGAGTATTAATAACTTGAAAATCAAAAACAAAACTTTAAAACCCTTACTGGATAATTTATATCAATGACTTTGGATTTTGATGTAGGCAAACATCTCTTGGAAAAGACAAAAACCGTGTTAGTTTAAAAGAAATTATTGATAGCTTCAACTAGAAATTAAGAAACCTAAGAAAATTTGATCATTAAATTTCACATTTCAGACTGAGGAAATGTGTTTGTAATAAATCCATCCAATGCCTGTCTTCTCTACTTGGACTCTATTTCCTTGCATTGCCATTTGGAAAACACAGAAAGGATGAAACCCGAGGTGAATTGAGCCTCGCATCATGTGTTTCTCTTGTTCAAGGATCATGGCCCAGGGTTGATTATTGTCCAATGCCTGCAGGCAGTAGTTTTAGATATTTTCCCAGCTTTCATTATTGTTTGCAGCAGGAGGATAAATCTTATACTAGCTTCTATGTTACGAGTGGGATCAGAAGCCTCCTGAAGCTTGGTTGTAACTCATCCCTGTGACTCATCAACACCATCCTCCCTTCAGAGGCGCTTCCCAGAGTCAGCAGCACTAAGAAAAAGCAGATGGAGACGGACAATGGTTCTGACCTCTCCCTAAGCTAACCTGGAACTGTGAGGAGACCAAACACTACACTCAGCTTTAAAAATGAGGATTGGTGCCAACTGATCTGGGCAATGGTGACTGCATTTCTCATTTCAGGAAAATAGTTCTACTGGTTATGTATCAATTAGAAAAGCAAACAAATCAATTACCCACCAAAAATTCATAGCACTGAAGGAACAACTTCCTCCTTGAGCATCTCCTCGTGGACTAGAGGAATTAGCGTAAACGGTAATAATAAGTTCCGCTCATTGGTCCAAATTTTGGAGTACCATGTATAAAAGGTATGGTAGAGAAGGAAATACCAGGCTCCGAGAAATTTATCTCTGCTCAGAAGCCCCCCTTCCACCCCTGACACCATGACCCACTTTTGCTGCTGCCCTTGCTGCCAGGTGCCTGCTGCAGGACCACCTGCTGCCAGCCCACCTACTGTGGCCAAACCTGCAGTGGGTCCAGCTGCTGCCAGCCTTCCTGCTGCTGACCCACTTACCACAGGCCTGTTACCTACATGGAATAACCTTCTATCCTCAGACTTGCCAGACACGCACTTCTGTGGCATCCTCCCTTCCCTTTCTCTGCTGATAACACACACACTGTCACCAGACTGTTGATCATCTTGTTAACAGATTCGTGATTTTGCTCAGCAAGGGCAATCTTCTTCACTGACTTTCTTCTCCCGTGAGCCAGCTGCTGGTCAGCTTCACCTGCTCTTGACCAGGAGTCATGGTCTCAGCCTTCACAAAGTGATTACTGCTCTCTTACTCTAAGGGGGTTAGAAAAAGAAAATGCTCATCACTGTTTTATCAGGTCTTTGCAATGATACATCTCAGTCATTTTGCTTCAACGTATTTTTGCTACTCCTTCCATGATTCTTTCCTGATAACTTTGTATCATCTTCCCACCTGAAGGGAGCACTGACTATTTCTTTCCTAATAAAGCCTGTGCTATGTTGCCTCCTATATTATGTTTTGTTTCTGTGATTGCTTTGCATTTCACAAGTTACCTCATCTAAGTCATATAACAGCCCCAAAGGTGGGCAGAATCAAGACAAGCAAAGTGACCTGCATAATGCCATATAGCTAAGGGTTTTCTGATTCCAGCTGTGGTGCAGTCACATTTACAGCTTGCTACAAGAAGATAACACTGGGGACGGAGCACTGGGAAGACGTGCACTCTAAGTTGTTCTCTGGCAACAAAAACACCAATCCCTTGCACTTGCAGATCACTTTCTGTTAGCAAAGCTCTTCCCAAATCCATTCTCCACAGCCTTGGGGCCAGCAGGCACATTTTAAAAGCAGCAGCTGGTTTTAAGGGCCCCAGTAAATTATGTGAACCTTTTATTGTCTCAATCTCTGCTCGGCCACTAGTGTAAATCCTTTCCTTTCAAAACTTTTGAATATCTGTTGTGTTCCCAGACTGTCCTGGGACTTTGGTGTGAGAGGTTCATCTAGAAACACTTGTTTGTTGATGTCATGGAAATAGCATTCTTGTATGTCCTCATTCTTCTGGGAACCTACAGAAATAGCGATATGGGATTAAGTCGCATCCTGTGAAACACTGCCAAATTTCATTTGCACCCAAACTTTGAGAAAATCTGTTCCTAGGTCAGAACATTATTAAGTAAGTTAGGCAATGACACATGGGGATGAGGGTAGCAGTGCAGTGCGCATCTCAGCCTTGGATCCATTTACAATCTCTGGATCACCTGAGGGAGCAAAACAGCTCCCTGATTTTGGGGAGATAAAGACCAATCAGCAGAAGGAAATAGGAGCCTGAGTTTCCGGGGTAAATGAGAATGTGAGGAGGAAGAAACAGAGAAAGGAGTATGCACCACTAGGAGCCACGTAGGTATGAGGGTGGTGCCAAAAAAGGGAACACCAGATCTCCTGAGAAAGAAAATGAACAATAACAGGGAACTCAAGCTTTTGGTGATGCAAGGCCTGGTACTGCTACTGGAAAGAAGAAAAAAATAAGTCAATGACTGGGCCTTCTCATTGCGGAAGTCCTTCAGTGGACCTGACAGGGCAGAGGTGCAGCAGATGTGTGATCTTCCCAGATACAAACTCTACGGTTTCTCCGAAGAGACTTCCAACAATCCCGCTGTAACAAGAACTTGAGTTTTCATAAGGCAGACCTGCATCGAGAGACAAATGAAAACCCAGAAGTTCATTCTCTGTTTAAGATAGCGGAACAGGGAACTCAAGGGACTAATATTTAATGGCATCGAATGCATACAGTTTGCGGTAGATCCTGCCAGTGGAAATGAAAGGCTCAGAACACAATGAATCGTCCAGTGCAGCATCCGGCTAAACACTATGAGCATTTACTTTGCTGGTTTTTCTTACTCCGAGAGTTGGTCTTTTTTTGCTGGCTTTCCCCATTGAAAAGCTGCATATGCTTCTTAAAAATGTCTTCAATCGTGGCTGCCTGAGACCCCTGGTGAGAGGATAGGGTGAGACTCCAAGCTGGGGCTCCTCAGTGAGTACTCCTGTCCCAGGATTAATGTCAAGCCCAGACCATGGTACAGCTGGGTCCCACCCTAGCCACAAAGGAGGTCACCTTCAAAAGGACGCCGTGCTGTCAGATGTCCACTTCTACACCCGAACCACAGATACCTCATGCTACAGCTGAATGGCATGGGGCAGCTTGGTAAAGTACTTATGCCATTGCCTCGTGAAAATCCATAGTCAAATTTTATGTTTTAGTTTGGTTAATTTATGCTCTAATATATATTAGCCATTTATGATGTTCTAATTATACTTTGGGTGACTCAATTGTCCATCCTATATATCTTATCTCCAAAAACTAAATATAATATTTAGTGACGTAGATCTTTCTTCAGAAAGTTGCATTGACCCTTACTGATTTTGTCCATCAGGTGACAATCTGACATCACCAAGCTTGTTATGTGTGACCCACTTTGTTTTTCATCAGTTTCCATCAGTGAGTTGAGCAGGTCACTTCCTTCTGTAATTTGCGTTGAATGTAAAGCAATGCCTAAGAGAAAAATTCTGATAAAACATAATAACCTTGTGAGAAACACTTGGTATAATTTGGGATGATTGGTCTTATCTTGTTCAACTCTTTGCAAAGTAGAGAAAGCTCAGTTTTTTTCAAAAGAATAGCTCCTTGGAATTTTATCTACAACACAGATTCCAGAAACATCATTCTTAGATTTTTTTGTATGTGTTTTAAAAGAGGAGGTATATTGGACTCTCAGCCCAAAAGCTGCAAGAACAAAGACAGTTTAACTCAAGGAGCATAAGAGAGCCCTTAGAAAGGTCATTATGGGAAGTCACACTAATCTCAAATTCAGGCATAGAAAAATTGAAAGGAAGTATTAATTTCCTATTGCTGCCGTAACCAATTATCACAAACTTAGTGGCTGAAAACAACACAAATTTATTATCTTACAGCTCTGGAGCTCAGAAGTCCAAAATGAGTCTCACTGGGCTAAAATCAAGGTGTTAGGAGGGCTGCATTCCCCCCGGAGAGTCCGTTTCCTTGCTTTAGCCAGCTTCCAGAGGCTGCCACATTCCTTGGCTCATGGCCCCACACCTCTCCAAATTCTGCTTGTCATCACATTGCTGACTCCCCTGTCTCCCTCTTTTCCTTATAAGGACCCTTATGATTACATTGAGCTCATCCAGATAAACCGGGATAACCTACCTCTCTCAAGGTTCTTAATCACATCTGCGAAGGCCATTTGGCCATTTAAGGTAACGTCTTCACAGGTTCCTGGGACTAAGACATGGACATCTTTAAGGGGCCATTATTCTGCCTACAATAAGAACTTTGACATGTCCAGAGCTAAGTATTTGGGAATTGTGGGAGGAAATTAAGGAAAAAAGGGAAAAGTATGCTTATTCCTACTAAAATGAACACGTATAAGAATATTTCCAGGGGCCTGCCCGGTGGTGCAGCAGTTAAGTGCACACGTTCCCCTTTGGACGCCCGGGGTTCCCCGGTTCAGATCCCGGGTGCAGACACGGCACTGCTTGGCAAGTCACACTGTGGTAGGCGTCCCACATATAAAGTAGAGGAAGATGGGCATGGATGTTAGCTCAGGGCCAGTCTTCCTCAGCAAAAAAGAGGAGGATTGGCAGCAGTTAGCTCAGGGCTACTCTTCCTCAAAAAAAAAAAATTTCCAGACACATGAAGAACACTTTGAAATTACAGAAATTAGAATATTGAGATTCTGAGACTGTTTACGGAGAGGTCCATGTTCTTCATTTGCTGTGTTGGTATCTTCTCACAGCTCAGCTCAGGCTATTGGAGTATTTTGCAAATTGATGACAAGTTCCTAACATATCTCTGTAATTTGTAAAAATGCTTCAGAGTTGAAATCTGCAAAATCTCTCAAGCATGAATCACAGGAACCTAAAATTAACGTTATGTATCTAAAAGTTAGGTTTTTCATTTCAGAAACTGCTTATCTCCTTCTGACACCTTATCTTCACGGATATAGTGAAGCTGATGGTAATTAAATGGTTGGCCGAATTTCCAAACCTCATTTTTCTTCTGTGATATAAAATTGAAATGTTATTTAACTCTTCTTTTCTTGAAAAGATTTTAAAAGTCACTAAAAAGAACGAAATGAAATATTTGGTGTAACTAAGAATAAATCATAGACTGGATAGGGCTGAGGAAAAACATTACTGACCTGGAATACCAAAATGGAGGATTTTATAGTGGAAATTAAAATATCTAAGAAACTAAATGATAATGAAAACACTACATGTCAAAATTTGTGAAATACCTTAAAAGTGGTATTTTGAGGGAAACTTACAGTCCTTAAATACTTATGCCAGAAAAATAATGCAAAATTAGTGAACATGGCATTTATCCTGAGGAGTTAGAGAAAGAACATGAATTAAGAAAAAATTAGAAGGAAAGATATAAGATCTTTCTTAGAAGGAAAGATATAAGTGAGAATGGAAATTAGTGAAGTAGAAAATAAATATAAAATAAATATGATCAACAAAAGCAAAACTTTATGCCTTGGGAAATCTTTTTTTAAAAAAAGAGGATAAAACTCTCATGATACTGATCAAGAAAAAAGAAAAGAAATTTAAATAATGTTGTAAATGAAAAAAGTCGTATATTGATGGATTCACAGAGAATGTTCAATAAATTGAGCTAGAAATGATGAAATTGGACCCTACTAGACATCATATACAAAAATTAAATCTGGGTGGATTAAGGATTTAAAGTTCAATAAAAATCTTTCAAACTCTTGGAAGAAAATGCAGATGAATATGTTTAAACTTGTAGGTAGGGAAAGACTTGATGACCAAGAAAATTAGTTCTAACCGAAAAAATTGCCAAATTTGATAATGCTAAAATACAGAACTAGTATTCAGGAAAAGACATGTTAATAAAAAAGAAAAGAAATTGCAAACTTGGAGATGATTTTAATGATACATATACCAACAAAGGATTGATATCAAAGGGAGAAAATTCATACAGATCAGTTGTTTAGAAAGAGCATGAAACCCAATTAAATATGAGTTAAAAAAATCCAACCAACTAAAATTTCATATTGAGGTAAACATATTTGGCAAATAAATACCTGAAGAAATAATGTTCAACCTGATTAGTAACCAGGAAAATGCAAATCAAGACCACAGTGAGTTACCTTACACCCATTTGATTGGATAAAATTGTCTTGTTATATATTGGGGAAAATAGAATTGTTAAAATCACAAGGTTAGCAGCGACAGAACTAGGATATGGATCCTTGTCAGCTTCTCAAGCCTATGCTCTTAATTGCTGCAGTTTAGTCTTGAGAGAAATGTAACTTATTCCTGCATACTATTTCAGGGTTTTGTTGTTTTTTGTTATGCCTCATTTTAGACAATTCTTGGCACATTATGGTCTCTCAATAAATATTTGTTAAATAAATAAATGAATAAGTGAACTTGCACAAGTTGTGTGACAAGACTCACCAGCCTCATACCACTCCCGACACGCGCTTCGGTTTGGTCCAAGGCTTGTGAAATGATTTAGGGTTCAGAATTGAACGGAGGTGCTTGAAAAAAAAAAGGGTTTGGCTTTACTTTGTCAAGGTGCTTTCCTTTCAGTCCTCTGCTTTCTCCCTCGTTAGCAGTCTTCTCTCTCAGCTGCTCGATAGAGCAAAGTTAAATACCAGAGGATAGAGTACTAGATGGTTGGCTACAGTGATCCAATTGATAACTCCGAAATCTTTTTAAAAATTTCTGATCTTTTCAAAGTAATCGCAGTGCTACCAAAACCTAAGGAATTGTGGAGAAAGAACTGAGAAAGACATTAAAGGAGATGATGCCTCTTTCCCCTCATGAGTTTAGTTGACCCAGAATAGAGAGGCCAGAAAGAGAGCCAGTCAGCTATGATCATTAATTTCCAGCAAAGCTGGCACCGCAGGTCAATGCAGGAAAGGCTGGCCTTTTTGATTAATTGTGCTGGGATGACCGGATATCCACCTAGGGCGAAAAAGTGAAACTTGATCCTTATCTCACCAGATACAAATCAATTCCGGGGATACTGTACGCACAAATATAAATAGTAAGGCAATAACATTTCTAGGGTATAACAGAGGATAATATCTACATGACCTTAGAATCGTCACGAATTTGTTAAACAAGACACAGAAAGCAAAAGGATTGATGAGTTGTATTGCATTAAAGTTAAGAACTTGGGCCAGCCCCCGTGACCCACCGATTAAGTTCAGTGTGCTCTGCTGTGGTGGCCCGGGTTCAATTCCTGGGCGCAGACCTCTACCACTCGTCTGTCAGTGGCCATGCTGTCGCAGCGGCTCAAAGATGGCATAAATGGGCAAAAGTCCAGATAGACATTTTTTCAAAGAAGATATACAGACGGCCAAAAGGTACATGAAAAGGTGTTCAACATCACTAATTTTCAGGAATATGCAAATCCAAATCACAGTGAGGTATCAGCGCACACCTGTGAGGATGGCTTTTATCCAAAAAACAAGAGATAGTAAATGCTGATGAGGATGTGGAAAAAATGGAATCTTGGTGTGCTGTTGGTAGGAATAGAAAGTGGTAACGCTACTAGGGAAAACAGCATGGCAGTTCTTCAAAAAATTAAAAACTAGTAAAATAGAATGACCGTATGATCCAGCAATCCCACTTCTGAGTGTATGTCCAAAGGAAGTGAAATCAGTGTCTTGAAGAGATATGTGCACGCGCATGTTCATGCAGCATTATTTACGATTCATCCAAACAACCTGAATGTCCCTCGACAGGTGAGCAGATAAAGAAGATGTGGATCTATATACACACACAACGGAATATTATTCAGCCATGAGAAAGAAGGAAATCTTGCCATTTGTGACACCATGGATGAACCTAGAGAACATTATGCTAGGTGAAATCAGCCAGACAGAGAAAGACAAACACTATATGATCTCATTCATATGTGGAATCTAAAAAAAAAATTTTATGTTGAAGTCATAGAAACAGAGAGGAGAATGATGGCTACCGGGGCCAGGCAAGTGGGGGAAATGAGGAGATGCTAGTCAAAGGGTACAAGCCTTCAGTTATAAGATGAATAAGTTCCGGGGATCTAAGATACAGCATATGACTATATAGCCATGTGTCACCTAACAACCAAGAAAGCTTCTGAGAAATGCGTCGTTAGATGATTTTGTTATTGTGTCAACAACACAGAGTGCACTTACGCAAACCTAGATGGTATAGCCTACTACACACCTGGGCTATAGGGTCCTACTGATCTTATAGGGCCACCATCGTGTACACAGTCCAAGATCAATAAACCTCACAGATATCATTTGGAGCAAAGGAGCTAAACAAAAAAATACCTGGTATATAATTTCATTTTATATGAAGTTCAAAACCGGTATAACTACTCTATGGTGTTCTAAGTCAATATGCTAGTGATCTTGGGGAGGAGGGAAAAGACAGTAATTAGCAAAAAGCGTGAGGGCAGTTAGTAGAGGGCACACTGAGTTCTATCAGCTTCATAAATGATAGTGACACTATTTATTCTGTCTGTCACAGTCAGTCAAGCTGTACCTTAATAACTCATGCACTTCTCTGAAAGTACATTATACTTTAATTTTCTAAGAAATGAACACATCAGGTGTTATCCCATGGCATGTAATGACCTCATTTTATGAAATCAGACGATGTGCAGGTTTCAGTATCCCACCTGAAGTTACTGAGCCTGCTGGTAAACAGGGTTAGGATATAAGTTGACTAATGCTTTCTGAATCTCAGTGTCCTGATTCTGCCCCTATCCTCCTGCTTTGGTGCTGGTTTGCATATGAAAAAAAATGATGCCAACTACACTGTACCCAAGTACTCTTTGATAAAAATGGGATACATATATGCAATGGCTGCCACGGATAGAGATGCCCATTACAGTTTGAATAACTTGTAGTATTTTCTGGGGGAACAGACTTGAGTCCAGGAATGGATTCAAATCATCGCTATGAGTGTACCAGCATCATGCCCCTCCCCAGTGACACTTCTCAATCTATGTAAAGCCAAAGGTACAAAGCTTGGGAGGAACAACTGCTCTGACCCCCAGTCCAACAGGAACGATCACATGACCACGGGATTCTTCAGGTGGAACTGATGTTGATGATTTTTGGAAATATTCCCAATGAATTATCCACAATTAACTGCTTAAAGCACAATTTTCAGAAGATTTGTGATACTTAAGGAACAGCTTCCTCCTGGGCCTTTTCCCCATGTGCCATGGAAAAGAACATAAATAAGAACAAGGAAAAGTGCTGCTCATTGGTTCAAACTTTGGGGGTCAGAATATAAAAGCCCCAGAAGAAGAAGTCATCATCAGATTCTAAGGAACCCATCTCTGCACGGGAGCCCACTCTCCACTCCTGACACCATGACTCATTCCTGCTGCTCCCCTTGCTGCCAGCCCACCTGCAGAGAGTCCAGCTGTTGTGGGTCCAGCTGCTGCCAGCCTTGCTGCCCCCAAACTCGCTGTCAAGTCACCTGCTGCAGGACCACCTGCTACCAACCAGCTTGTGTGACCAGCTGCTGCCGCCCTTCCTGCTGCAGCACTCCCTGCTGCCAGCCCACCTGCTCTGAGCCCAGCTGCTGTGGACAAACCTGCAGTGAGTCCAGCTGCTGCCAGCCCTGCTGCCCCCAGACCCGCTGTCAAACCACCTGCTCTAGGACCACCTGCTACCAACCAACCTGTGTGACCAGCTGCCGCCTTTCCTGCTGCCCCGCTCCCTGCTGCCAGCCCACCTGCTCTGAGTCCAGCTGCTGTGGACAAACCTGCAGTCAGTCCAGCTGCTGCCAACCTTGCTGCCCCCCAGCTTGCTGTCAGACCACCTGCTGCCAGCCAGCTTGCTCTGGACCCGTGTACTGCCGGAGAACCTGCTACCACCCCACCTGCGTCTGCCTGCCTTGTTGCCAAGCCCAGAGCTGCGGATCCAGCTGCTGCCAGCCTTGCTGCCGCCCAGCCTGCTGTGAGTCCAGCTGCTGCCGGCCCTCTTGCTGCTGATCCTCTTGCTGAAGACCAACCACACCCGTCACATTCCAACTTCCATCAACCAGCTCAGGTCCTGCAACAAAATCACCCTCCAGGCTTTGCCATCATTGAACTAGCTGTTGGTCGTCTTCTTGTGAAGGGTCTTGAGAGCCTGCTTGATGGAGGGCAGTCCTCTTCACTCTGATCTTCTTCTCCTGACTTGTCGGCCAGTGTTCCAGGTCCTGGTCTGCTTTCTCTGTGCTTGGCTTCGAGTCATGCTCTCATGAAAAAGTGATTTTTCACCCTTTTTCTGTAGGAAACCTAAAAAACAAGCCAACAACCAGAACCCCATAGATTTTTTCCTTGACTCTCTTCAGTGATTGTCCTCCTGGTTACATGGAGTCTTCCCTGTTTATTTCCTAATAAAACCTACTCTACCTCGCATCTTTCCTGCATTTTTTTATGTTTCTACAGCGTTTCCTTTATAAGAGGTTGCATTCAGCATACATTTCACTTCTATCACTTCTGCCTAATCTCACGATAACCTCACAAGGTCGTCAGAGCCAAGAGCATCTTTGGCAGCCTATAGATGAAAAGGATAACATGCGTAGTGTCTGGTCCAGTACGTAGGTGTTCTCATTTTGTCTCAGGGGGACCTTAACTTACATATGCAAGTAGGAATAACCTAGCACTGGGAAGACATACACTTTTCCTGGCTCTGACTTCTTTAGCAGGGGAAATCTTAATCCGTCACATGCTGGGCACTTTTCTATGCACAAGTAGAGGAATATGAAGAATGAGAAATGAGCAGGAGCTGAACACCACCAGAATCCGTGATAGATGTGAAAGTGACAGTAAAAGAGGTGGAAGCAGATATTTCAAAGACCTGAACGCTGGAGAGCACACGTAGGCACTTGTACTTTAGAGGACTGTTGCTTCCTCAAAGAGAAAATAGGATTTCAGGACCAGGCAACGCTTGGTCAGGCTGACAGAGGTGAGGAGACAAGCCGTCTTCCTGGTCTGTGGCGCGGGTCTCTGAAGAGCCTGCCAAGTAATCCGACTTGCTCCTGTGAGCACTCCTGGTGCCTCACAACGGAGGAGTCCCTGAAATGATTTATTAATATTTGCTGAGCACCTAGTAGATGGAGTTCTATGCTATGCATGTAGTGTCTAATTCTCAAACAAGCCTGCAAGGGAGATCTTCCTGAATCCATGTTAAAGCAGAGTGGATGCAGCTCTAGGAGGTAACATAATGTGCACCAACGCACACCTGCACAGCTTGTAAACAGCTTGATTGGCTTCCAAAACCCAGTCTGTTTCCACTGCACTTTCATTTAGGATGCACCAGAAGCGATCAAAGAGGTCACTCTGTGATCAACAAAGTCTTGCACATGAAAATGAAACACTCAGCGTTATCCCGTTTATCTCATTTTGTTATCAACAATTGGGGTTTGGAGACGAAAACTGAGAAGTAAGAGGGGCTGGGCCAGTGGCATACTGGTTGGGTTCTCATGCTCCACTTCGGTGGCCCGGGGTTGGTTGGTGTGGATCCTGTGTGTGTGCCTATGCACCGCCCATCAAGCCATGCTGTGGCGCCCCACATAGAAAAACTAGAAGGTCTCACAAGTAAGATGTATATCTACGTACTGGGGCTTTGGAGGGAAAAAAAAAAAAAAGAAAAGGAAGGTTGACAACGGATGCTAGCTCACGGCCAATCTTCCTCACCAAAAGCACACCTTTAAAAAAAATAAGAAGTAAGAAGTTTATAATCTGTAGATTCAAAAGGACTTTTTCCTTCAACGGCTAGGTGTTGTGCACCTACTGTGCACCAGTCACTGTGCTCAAGCAGGGGATAGGCAGGGAAACGAAATGACCAGGACCCTGGCCCTTGTTAGATTTGCCAAGGACGAGCTTAGAGAGAAACTATACTCCTCTGAGAATGAAAAAGATAAGCCAGGTTTGTGCTTATGGTCCGATACTGAAGAGAGGAAAAATAATGGAGAAAAATCTTCCAGATTAACAACATAGATCCAATAACTGCATAAAACAGCCGGTATAAAATAACAGAAGGAAGACAAAAATGTATAAAAGAAATCAACTAGGAAAAAGGCTTGACTATATTAAGTAACTTGCCCGTGAGTGGAAGAACATGGAGGGGAAAACTCAAAAATCAAACGAATTCCCAAGTCCCGTGTACTATTGCCTGTTGCATCCACAGTGGAGAACAAATGAATGAAAATGAAAATAGAGACAGATAGAAAAGCTGTGATTGATAGAGGTTACTGCAGAAAATGGATGCTGTGCTCCCAGAGAAGCTCATAAAATGATACAAACAGAAATGAGAGGCAACAGGAATGAAAACACCAGATATTTCATTCTATTAAAATAGCATCTAGGAAGATCTTAAACATTTAGGAAAGCATTCTGAACTTGACTATAACAAGAAAGAAGAGTTCCCTGGCAAAGTCAGTGGAAAGGAACTTGAAGAAATTGACCATGCTAAAGTTCACCACAGCCAGGGAGAGACATGCTCTGCAGGAGCAGAAGTCGATCCCACACCATGGGAAGACGAGGACCTAAGTTTGGAGGAAGATGGATGACATTTCCTATAAATGAGAACTGGGAAGGAAGATGGCTAATGAGGACAGGAACTTTCAAAAATGCCGTTTGGACAATATAATCACAAGTGAACACCAGAGAAAGCAATGAAATGTACTTATATGTAAGGAAATACTCTTTAATATACCTACATAGAATAGGCTACTGCAGGGTACAAATTGACAGTCACTGAAGGAGACTGGACAACTGCTTTGGCAGGATGTTGTAGCAAAAATCTACAGCTTTAAGTGAATGATTTATATTCTGGATGTATAGTTTCCCTTCTGTTGAGACATCTCCACCAGTCTCTCACACTTCTGCGTTTCTTTCGAACAGACTTGGTTCTATGAAAAAGCAAGAAAATTAGTAAGCCATGGCAACATCATTCAAGAAAAATAGAGAGTAGGATCTGTAAATAATACCACAAATGAAAAGGGGACGTGACTACAGATTCTGAAGTATTAAAAGTATAATGAAATATAACAACTTTCTGTCAAAATTTTAAATCTTCCATAAAAAGGGCAAATTCCTAAGAAAGAACTTACCAGAACTGACATGAGAAGCAGCAAATCTAAAGATTCTTACATGAATTTAAGAAATTTAATCAATGATTATAAATGCTAATCTCCTCCTTTCACTTACCCTACCCTTCTCCCACACATACACACACACACACCCCTACAGACGCTAAAGGTTTCCACCAGTGTAATTTATCAATGAAAACATATTCAAGGAAGAAATCATAGTGTCTTAAATTCTTTTAGACATTATGAAAGGGAATATCTACCCACCTCCTTTGGTTCTGCTTTGTCTTTTTTTTCTTTTACTTTTTATTTTTTTCGGATGTACATCATATTTCAAATTCTGGATACATTACATCATGTTCACCACCCGAACACTAATTATAGTGCATCCCCTCACATGTGACCCTAATCACCCCTTTTGCCCTCCCCCCTCCCCCTTCCCCAATGGTAACCACCAGTCCAATCTCCAATGCTATGTGTTTTTTTTTTTTGTCGTCTTTATCTTCTGCTTATGAGTGAGATCATATGGTATTTGACTTTCTCCCTCTGACTTATTTCACTCAGCATAATACCCTCAAGGTCCATCCATGTTGTCACAAATGGCCAGATTTCATCATTTCTTATGGCTGAGTAATAGTCCATCGTGTATAAATACCACATCTTCTTTATCCATTCGTCCCTTGATGGGCACCTAGGTTGCTTCCAAGTCTTGGCTATTGTCTATAATGCTGCAATGAACATAGGGGTGCAAGTATCTTTATGCCTTTGTGTTTTCAAGTTCTTTGGATAAATACCCAGCAGTGAAATAGCTGGATCATATGGTAGATCTATCCTTAATTTTCTGAGGAAACTCCATACTGCTTTCCATAGTAGCTGCACCAGTTTGCACTGCCACCAGCAGTGAACAAGGGTTCCCTTCTCTCCACACCCTCTCCAACATTTGTTGCTTCCTGTCTTGTTAATTATAGCCATTCTGACTGGAGTGAGGTGATACCTCATTGTAGTTTTGATTTGCATTTCCCTGATAGCTAATGATGTTGAGCATCTTTTCATGTGCCTGTTGGCCATCTGTATATCTTCTTTGGAGAAATCTCTGTTCAGATCTTTGGCCCATTTTATAATTGGATTGCTGGCTTCTTTGTAGTTGAGCTGTATGAGTTCTTCGTATATTTTGGCTGTTAACCCCTTATCTGATATGTGGTTTGCAAATATCTTCTCCCAATTGTTAGGTTGTCTTTTTGTTTTGTTGATGGTTTCCTTTGCTGTGCAGAAGTTTTTAGTTTGATGTAGTCCCATTTGTTCATTTGCTTTGTCTTGTGGAAGAGATTGTGCCAACATCCTCCACCCAAGTGTCTTCGATAGCACTGGGATACACAGGTGGGTAGGGTGCTACAGAGAGAAATGCCTGTGGTTGTCTTGATTCAGGCTTTCTGGGTCAACTGACTGAGACCCAGCATGGACTCAGTTCTTCCGTGTGCACATATTAGCATCACGTCCCTCCCCAGGGACACTTCCCAATCTGCATAAAACCCAAGGAAGAAAGCTAGGGAAGGACAACTGATCTGAACCTCCCCAAGTCAGTGGGAAATAGATCACATGACCAGACTGTGATGGAAGCAGGAACGATGCTGATGATGCGACTACCTTCCTTGGATCCGAATAAAGTTTCAATGAGTTATTCTCAATTAGAAAATAGGTTAAACACTTACTTTATAAAGATTCATAACATTTAGGGAACAACTTCCTCCAGGACAACTCCTCCAGTGACAATGTAAAAAAAGGTAAACAACAATATGAGTCCTGCTCATTGGTGCCAACTTTGGGTGTCAGTGTATAAAAGCCCCAGAACAGAAGGAGTCATCAGATTCTTGAAAACTCACCTCTGAACAGAAGCTCACCCTCCACCTCTGACACCATGACCCACTCCTGCTGTTCCCCTTGCTGTCAGCCTACCTGCTGCAGGACCACCTGCTGCCAGCCCACCCGCAGTGGGTCCAGCTGTTGTGAGTCCAGCTGCTGCCAGCCTTGCTGCCCCCAAACTCGCTGTCAAGTCACCTGCTGCAGGACCACCTGCTACCAACCAGCTTGTGTGACCAGCTGCCGCCCTTCCTGCGGCAGCGCTCCCTGCTGCCAGCCCACCTGCTCTGAGCCCAGCTGCTGTGGACAAACCTGCAGTGAGTCCAGCTGCTGCCAGCCCTGCTGTCCCCAGACTTGCTGTCAAACCACCTGCTCTAGGACCACCTGCTACCAACCAACCTGTGTGACCAGCTGCCGCCTTTCCTGCTGCCCCGCTCCCTGCTGCCAGCCCACCTGCTCTGAGTCCAGCTGCTGTGGACAAACCTGCAGTCAGTCCAGCTGCTGCCAGCCTAGCTGCCCCCCAGCTTGCTGTCAGACCACCTGCTGCCAGCCAGCTTGCTCTGGACCCGTGTACTGCCGGAGAACCTGCTACCACCCCACCTGCGTCTGCCTGCCTTGTTGCCAAGCCCAGAGCTGCGGATCCAGCTGTTGCCAGCCTTGCTGCCGCCCAGCCTGCTGTGAGTCCAGCTGCTGCCGGCCTTCCTGCTGCTGATCACCCGACCAAAGAACCACCGTCTGCACAAACCAATCTTTTTCTCACCTTGCCGTTCCTACAACAAATTCACTTCCAGACATTGCTAAAAGCCAGCATGCTATCACTAAACTTTTGTTACTCATCTGCCTGTTGAAAAGCTTGTGAACAAGCTCGATGCAGTGCAGAGGACTTCCCCCAATTCTCCTCCTCCTTGTGTCTGTGGATCACGTGCCAGCTTCATGCATCCTCCATCCGGAGTCATGATCTCTCCTTTAACTCTGAAGTCAGCATCTTCACCCTCTACCTCTGAGTAACTTAGAAAAAGAAATCCTCCTCACTTTTACGTAGATTTCTGGAGCTGTTGATTAAGCTTCACAATCATGTTTTCCTTTTCAATATACTCATGTTTCTTGTACCCTGCTCTCTTCTTTTCATGATCACTTTGACTTGTCTCCCTGGATGCATGGAGTCTTCCCTATATTTCTTAATAAATCCTGTACCAATATTCATCCTATATTGTGTTTTGTTTTATAGTGCAGCATTTCTGATGTACAGATTTATCCACATTTTGCATAGCACATGCACTGTCCATTCTGAACCTCATACAATCCCCCACAAATGATCTCCGTTTTTCATATGAGAAAAATCATTGTGGAATGTTATGGTGCTGATATGGACAGACTCAAACCCAAGACTAGAGCCACTCCTGCTCAATGGTACTTACAAGTAGGAAAAAGCCCTGAGACTGAGCACTAGGAAGACGTTCACGTGGGCTTCTTCTTTGACAAAGAAAGACTATTCTCTTGTATGTGCAGATAACATCTGTGTCCGGAGTTCTTCCCAATCAGTGTCCTGGACCTCAGGGAACAGCGGCTACATGTGAGGGCCCCAGGGCTGCATCTCAGAGCTCCTGTGAAGGCAGGGAGCCTTCCTCACTTCAAGGACCCTCCAGCCCTTCAGTAATTCATCTACATCAAACATTTTTGAGCCTCTAGTGTGTCCTCACAAGATAGAAGCTCATCTAAAGAGACTTGCCCTTTGGTATTGCACATGGAAAAACCTTCAGCTTTTCCTCTCTGTCTAGGGAACATCCAGCTCTTCCCTACTATGTCTTTCTTCCCTGTGCGTCTCCTCTACTACTCACAAAATTTCACTCCTGGTCAGCAAACATGTGGAGGGTTTTCCCCACACCAAGCAATTCTCTGCGACACCGGCTGAGTATCCTACAATGCAACTCAGTTCTGGGCTCAGTCCCACAAGACTGTCCCCTGCTCCCACTTCAGATGCCAGGCACAAGCCTAAGTTACCTGTGCTTCTGGCCAACCAGTTATAGATTGGAGGTTCCCACGCCCCTCTCCTTGGACTTCAGACACCAGTCACAAGCCCAGGTTGTTACCTAGACTTCTGAGCAACTGCCTATAAATCAGATTCCCTTGACCCTCTCCTTCCTTGGGTTCCATTAACTTGCTAGAGCGGCTCACAGAACTCAGGAAACATTCTGCTTGCTAGATCACTAGTTTATTATAAAAGAATGTGACTCAGGAACAGCCAGACAGAAGAGATGCGTAGGGCGAAGTATGTGGGAAGGGATGTGGAGCTTCCATGACGTCTCCAGGCACACCATTCTCCCCGCATCTCCACACGTTCACCAACCTGGAAGCTCTTAAACACCATCCTTTTGGATTTTTTATGGAGGCTTCGTTACACAGGCATGATGGATTAAATCACTGACCACTGGTGATAGAACTCCATCTCCAGAACCTCGACCCTCTCCCCCCACCAGAGGTTGGCCTGAGGATGGGACCAAAAGCTCCAAGGCTCTAATCACATGGTTGGCTCCACTGGCAAACAGCCTTCCATATTTAGGTGCTTTCCAAAAGTCGCCTCATTAACATAACAAAAGACCTTTATCACTCTCAGCATTTAAGAAATTCCAAGGGTTTTGGGAGCTGTGAGCCAGGAACCCTGAAGGATGACCAAATATATATATTCCTTATTATACATCACAAGTATCATGTAATCAAATTCTTGTGTGGGCTACTTGTCCAGAGTACTTATTGACAGAGTAAAAAAGGAATTAATTAATTCCTGCAAAACATATTATGGTCCCCAACTATAAGAAAATTTGTCCTCCTGATCAAAATGTTAAGAAAATTAAGTAAGGAGAAAGGTGGGGATTGGGAAACTATGCAATAGGCATGTATGACTTTGAGGAATTCATAACCTCTGAACCATCGAAGGGAACAAAACAACCTCCTGTGTTTTGTGAAGCAAATACAAAGCATTTAAGGGAAATAAAAACTCGTGTTTCAGGGGAATCAAAAGAACGACGTATGAGGGAGCTGGAGTCTTTACAAACCAACTCTCTAGAAGCATTGGTTGAATGTTTCCTCAGTTAGCATGTAAAGGCAGCAGGACTTTCAGTCGTTGCATGAAGAGAGCCCGTAGACAGAGGTGCAGACCCGGCAGGGGGAAATTGGCCCGAACACACTGAGATGCAAGATATATGGGTGGGATATTAAAAAACATAATCTACAATCTACCATTTGTTCCACTCAGATCAGTGTGGTAGACAGTCACAATTTCTAAAACAAGAAGTGGGAGGGGGCAAATGGGAGAGAGAAGAAAGAAAGAGGAAGGAGAAAAGTAAGGACAGAAGGAAAGGAGGGAGGGAAGGGAGAGAGAGAAAGGTGAAAAGGAAGAGAGAAAGAGAGAAAGGAAGGAAGAAAGGGAGAAAGAAAGAAAGAAAGAAAGGGAGAGAGGGAGGGAGGAAGGAAGTAAAGAAGGAAGGAAGGAAGGAAAAAAGAAAAGAAAGAAAGAAAGAGAAAAAATGTGTAGCCAGTGAATTGACAACAATTGGCCACTCAGGATGTAAACTGACTGATGCTTCCTTAGTCCCAGGGAAGTGCCTCTGCTTCAGCCCTCCTGCTTTGGTCCTGCTTTGTCATATGGAAGAGATTGTGCCAACACCCTCCACCCAAGTGTCTTTGATAGCACTGGGATACACAGGTGGGTAGGGTGCTACAGAGAGAGATGCCTCTAGTTGTCATGATTCAGGCTTTGTGGGGAAACAGACCAGGACTCAGCATGGATTCAGTTCCTCACTGTGAACATATCAGCATCATGCCCCTCCCCAGGGACACTTCCCAATCTGCATACACCAAAGGGACAAAGCTGGGGAGGGACAACTGCTCTGACTTCCCCAGGTCAGCAGGAAATATATCACATGATCAGATTGTGATGGAAGCAGGAACGATGCTGATGATGTGACTGCCTTCCTTGGATCTGAAAAAGGCTTCTATGAGTTATTTTCAATTAGGAAACAGATTAAACACTTAATTTCTAAAGATTCGTAACATTTAGGGTACAGCTTCCTCTATGACAACTCCGCCAGCGACTCTGGAAGCCAACGTAAACAACAAGCAAAGCCCTGCTCATTGGCCCAAATTTGGGGGGTCAGTGTATAAAAGCCCCAGAACAGAAGGAGTCATCAGATTCTTGAAAACTCACCTCTGAACAGGAGCCCACCCTCCACACCTGACACCATGACCCACTCCTGCTGCTCCCCTTGCTGCCAGCCTACCTGCTGCAGGACCACCTGCTGCCAGCCCACCTGCAGTGGGTCCAGCTGTTGTGAGTCCAGCTGCTGCCAGCCTTGCTGTCCCCCAACTCGCTGTCAAGTCACCTGCTGCAGAACCACCTGTTACCAACCAGCTTGTGTGACCAGCTGCCGCCCTTCCTGCTGCCCCACTCCCTGCTGCCAGCCCACCTGCTCTGAGTCCAGCTGCTGTGGACAAACCTGCAGTCAGTCCAGCTGCTGCCAGCCTTGCTGCCCCCCAGCTTGCTGTCAGACCATCTGCTGCCAGCCAGCTTGTTCTGGACCCGTGTACTGCCGGAGAACCTGCTACCACCCCACCTGCGTCTGCCTGCCTTGTTGCCAAGCCCAGAGCTGCGGATCCAGCTGTTGCCAGCCTTGCTGCCGCCCAGCCTGCTGTGAGTCCAGCTGCTGCCGGCCTTCCTGCTGCTGATCACCCGACCAAAGAACCACCGTCTGCACAAACCAATCTTTTTCTCACCTTGCCGTTCCTACGACAAATTCACTTCCAGACATTGCTAAAAGCCAGCATGCTATCACTAAATTTCTGTTACTTATCTGCCTGTTGAAAAGCTTGTGAACAAGCTCGATGCAGTGCAGAGGACTTCCCCCAATTCTCCTCCTCCTTGTGTCTGTGGATCACGTGCCAGCTTCATGCATCCTCCATCCGGAGTCATGATCTCTCCTTTAACTCTGAAGTCAGCATCTTCACCCTCTACCTCTGAGTAACTTAGAAAAGAAATCCTCCTCACTTTTACGTAGGTTTCTCAGCTGTTGATTAAGCTTCACAATCATGTTTTCCTTTTCAATATACTCATGTTTCTTGTACCCTGCTCTCTTCTTTTCATGATCACTTTGACTTGTCTCCCTGGATGCATGGAGTCTTCCCTATATTTCTTAATAAATCCTGTACCAATATTCATCCTATATTGTGTTTTGTTTATAGTGCAGCATTTCTGATGTACAGATTTATCCACATTTTGCATAGCACATGCACTGTCCATTCTGAACCTCATACAATCCCCCACAAATGATCTCCGTTTTTCATATGAGAAAAATCATTGTGGAATGTTATGGTGCTGATATGGACAGACTCAAACCCAAGACTAGAGCCACTCCTGCTCAATGGTACTTACAAGTAGGAAAAAGCCCTGAGACTGAGCACTAGGAAGACGTTCACGTGGGTTCTTCTTTGACAAAGAAAGACTATTCTCTTGTAGTGCAGATAACATCTGTGTCCGGAGTTCTTCCCAATCAGTGTCCTGGACCTCAGGGAACAGCGGCTACATGTGAGGGCCCCAGGGCTGCATCTCAGAGCTCCTGTGAAGGCAGGGAGCCTTCCTCACTTCAAGGACCCTCCAGCCCTTCAGTAATTCATCTACATCAAACATTTTTGAGCCTCTAGTGTGTCCTCACAAGATAGAAGCTCATCTAAAGAGACTTGCCCTTTGGTATTGCACATGGAAAAACCTTCAGCTTTTCCTCTCTGTCTAGGGAACATCCAGCTCTTCCCTACTATGTCTTTCTTCCCTGTGCGTCTCCTCTACACTCACACAAAATTTCACTCCTGGTCAGCAAACATGTGGAGGGTTTTCCCCACACCAAGCAATTCTCTGCGACACCGGCTGGGTATCCTACAATGCAACTCAGTTCTGGGCTCAGTCCCACAAAACTGTCCCCTGCTCCCACTTCAGATGCCAGGCACAAGCCTAAGTTACCTGTGCTTCTGGCCAACCAGTTATAGATTGGAGGTTCCCACGCCCCTCTCCTTGGACTTCAGACACCAGTCACAAGCCCAGGTTGTTACCTAGACTTCTGAGCAACTGCCTATAAATCAGATTCCCTTGACCCTCTCCTTCCTTGGGTTCCATTAACTTGCTAGAGCGGCTCACAGAACTCAGGAAACATTCTGCTTGCTAGATCACTAGTTTATTATAAAAGAATGTGACTCAGGAACAGCCAGACAGAAGAGATGCGTAGGGCGAAGTATGTGGGAAGGGATGTGGAGCTTCCATGACGTCTCCAGGCACACCATTCTCCCCGCATCTCCACACGTTCACCAACCTGGAAGCTCTTAAACACCATCCTTTTGGATTTTTTATGGAGGCTTCGTTACACAGGCATGATGGATTAAATCACTGACCACTGGTGATAGAACTCCATCTCCAGAACCTCGACCCTCTCCCCCCACCAGAGGTTGGCCTGAGGATGGGACCAAAAGCTCCAAGGCTCTAATCACATGGTTGGCTCCACTGGCAAACAGCCTTCCATATTTAGGTGCTTTCCAAAAGTCGCCTCATTAACATAACAAAAGACCTTTATCACTCTCAGCATTTAAGAAATTCCAAGGGTTTTGGGAGCTGTGAGCCAGGAACCCTGAAGGATGACCAAATATATATATTCCTTATTATACATCACAAGTATCATGTAATCAAATTCTTGTGTGGGCTACTTGTCCAGAGTACTTATTGACAGAGTAAAAAAGGAATTAATTAATTCCTGCAAAACATATTATGGTCCCCAACTATAAGAAAATTTGTCCTCCTGATCAAAATGTTAAGAAAATTAAGTAGGAGAAAGGTGGGGATTGGGAAACTATGCAATAGGCATGTATGACTTTGAGGAATTCATAACCTCTGAACCATCGAAGGGAACAAAACAACCTCCTGTGTTTTGTGAAGCAAATACAAAGCATTTAAGGGAAATAAAAACTCGTGTTTCAGGGGAATCAAAAGAACGACGTATGAGGGAGCTGGAGTCTTTACAAACCAACTCTCTAGAAGCATTGGTTGAATGTTTCCTCAGTTAGCATGTAAAGGCAGCAGGACTTTCAGTCGTTGCATGAAGAGAGCCCGTAGACAGAGGTGCAGACCCGGCAGGGGGAAATTGGCCCGAACACACTGAGATGCAAGATATATGGGTGGGATATTAAAAAACATAATCTACAATCTACCATTTGTTCCACTCAGATCAGTGTGGTAGACAGTCACAATTTCTAAAACAAGAAGTGGGAGGGGGCAAATGGGAGAGAGAAGAAAGAAAGAGGAAGGAGAAAAGTAAGGACAGAAGGAAAGGAGGGAGGGAAGGGAGAGAGAGAAAGGTGAAAAGGAAGAGAGAAAGAGAGAAAGGAAGGAAGAAAGGGAGAAAGAAAGAAAGAAAGAAAGGGAGAGAGGGAGGGAGGAAGGAAGTAAAGAAGGAAGGAAGGAAGGAAAAAAGAAAAGAAAGAAAGAAAGAGAAAAAATGTGTAGCCAGTGAATTGACAACAATTGGCCACTCAGGATGTAAACTGACTGATGCTTCCTTAGTCCCAGGGAAGTGCCTCTGCTTCAGCCCTCCTGCTTTGGTCCTGCTTTGTCATATGGAAGAGATTGTGCCAACACCCTCCACCCAAGTGTCTTTGATAGCACTGGGATACACAGGTGGGTAGGGTGCTACAGAGAGAGATGCCTCTATTGTCATGATTCAGGCTTTGTGGGGAAACAGACCAGGACTCAGCATGGATTCAGTTCCTCACTGTGAACATATCAGCATCATGCCCCTCCCCAGGGACACTTCCCAATCTGCATACACCAAAGGGACAAAGCTGGGGAGGGACAACTGCTCTGACTTCCCCAGGTCAGCAGGAAATATATCACATGATCAGATTGTGATGGAAGCAGGAACGATGCTGATGATGTGACTGCCTTCCTTTTATCTGAAAAAGGTTTCTATGAGTTATTTTCAACTAGGAAACAGATTAAACAGTTAATTTCTAAAGATTCATAACATTTAGGGTACAGCTTCCTCTATGACAACTCCGCCAGCGACTCTGGAAGACAACGTAAACAACAACAAGCAAAGTCCTGCTCATTGGCCCAAATTTGGGGGGTCAGTGTATAAAAGCCCCAGAACAGAAGGAGTCATCAGATTCTTGAAAACTCACCTCTGAACAGGAGCCCACTCTCCACCCCTGACACCATGACCCACTCCTGCTGCTCCCCTTGCTGCCAGCCTACCTGCTGCAGGACCACCTGCTGCCAGCCCACCCGCAGCGGGTCCAGCTGTTGTGAGTCCACCTGCTGCCAGCCCTGCTGTCCCCAGACTCGCTGTCAAACCACCTGCTCTAGGACCACCTGCTACCAACCAACCTGTGTGACCAGCTGCCGCCTTTCCTGCTGCCCCACTCCCTGCTGCCAGCCCACCTGCTCTGAGTCCAGCTGCTGTGGACAAACCTGCAGTCAGTCCAGCTGCTGCCAACCTTGCTGCCCCCCAGCTTCCTGTCAAACCATCTGCTGCCAGCCAGCTTGCTCTGGACCCGTGTACTGCCGGAGAACCTGCTACCACCCTACCTGCGTCTGCCTGCCTTGTTGCCAAGCCCAGAGCTGCGGATCCAGCTGTTGCCAGCCTTGCTGCCGCCCAGCCTGCTGTGAGTCCAGCTGCTGCCAGCCTTCCTGCTGCTGATCACCCCACCATAGAATCATGTGACACAGATCAACCTTCTGACAACCAACCTGTCAGCTCTCCATTACTGCCACTGCCTCTGTCCAGCATGCTGCCGCCATCTTTCTATTAGTCATATTCTTGATTAAAAGGCTCTGTGAATAGGTGTAGTAAGACGCAGTCAACTTCAGTCTAATTTTCTTCATCTTTATTTGCTGTTGATCTCTGTGCCAGCTGCAGGTCTTAGGTCTCCCTGACCTATGGTAACTGTGTCAGCCTTGCAAAAATGATCACCATTTTCCCTCTAAGTAACCTACAGCACAAATTCCTGTGACAGTTTTCTTAGGTTTTTCCATGTTTACTATTTCTCCATAATCATTTCTTCTAGTGGACGCATGGTTCTTCTCACTTCTTCTTCTTCCTGGTTACTTTGCATTGCCTTCCCAGCCTTGGGGAAGCTTCTCTGCTTCTTTCCCAATAAAGTCTTTGCTATCTTCCAGCCTATAGTGTGATTTTATTTTTTGTACAGCATTTACTTTCAAATCCTTACATTATATTTCATTTCACAAGTATGATTTATTCTGAGCCTCAAAATGACCTCTGAACTGACAGAACCAAGATGATCACCTTCCTCTTACAAATGAGTAAAAACCACTTGCTAGTTGTGGACAGAATTTACTCAAGGGCTAGGGCCTCTGATTCTAGCTCCAGGTCTTGTACTCACTAGAAGCACAAAGAAAACAGTGGTCAGAGGACTGGGAAGGTGGTTGCCTTGGATCACCCGTGTACAATTGAAAATAAACTTTTCCAAATGGAGAGAATTTTTCTGTTTACAAATGTAGTCTCCCACCCAGTTGCAAAGACTATTTGCACCTCAAAGACTGTTTGCACATATGAGGCCAGTAGGCTGGATTTAAGAGCCATCCTCTCTATTTAAGCGTCCACTGTATTCCTGGCACTGTGCTGGTATATTTAACCCAGAGGCTCATCTAAAGACACTTGCTCTTCCATGTCAAGGGATGGCATCCCAGAATGGTCTCGTTCATCTGGCCACATTTAGTGTGAAATATAAAAACGGGATCAAGTAAAACACATACTCTCAGCCATGTTTTATGTACCTCTAAACTTTCAGTCCATTTTTTCTCTTAACCAGAACATCAGCGAGGGAATAAGGAAAGACATAGTACTGGGAACTGATCTAATCACATCATGGAAATTTTACCTTTGAGCCATTCACAACCTCTACGAAACACCATCGTGAGCTTTATGAGATGAAGCTGAAGCACGGATCAAACCCAGATATATCTGAGATTCTCTGAAAAGACTGCCTAGCTCATAACAGGGAAGGAGATAAGTTGAGATAATAATATTTGTTCATTTTATTTAGATGTTGGTCTAAATCAGGGTTCCTCAACCTTGGCGCCGTTGACCTTTTGGTCCAGATAACTCTTTGTTGGTGGGGATGAGGGGCGTTGTTGCGAACATCGAAGAATGTTTAGCAGCATCCTGGCCTCTACCTGCTACATGCCCGTAGCACCCCTTCCTAGTTGTGACACACAGAGCTAAGATGGGTGGCGAAAGTGGATAAACGGCAAAAACACAGAGTGGAATGTGTAGAGGAATTGTCTAAATGTACAGAATTCGATAATAATCAAACGTGACACCAAATTCACGGGATGCAACAAAAGCAGTGTTTTGAGGGTAATTTATGTGTTTAAATCTTTATATTAGAAGAGAGGAAAACCTCAAAACTAATGAGTGAAATGCCTCATCTTAAGAAACTAAAGGACAAGCAAAAGCATTGCCCCCAACTGCGTAGAAGAAAACAAATACTTAAGAGTGGAAATGAGTACAACAGAAAATAAAGGAAAAACAGTGAAGTTCAACAAAGCCAAAAGTTTTGTCTTTTTTAAAAAGTGAACAAAATCGATAAAATGCTGGGAAGATTGATGAGCTAAAAAGGTACAAGACAAAATTAAATAATTTTGTGGAAAAAAAAGTTGGGCATAAAATATGGATAAGATAGATCTTTAAAGTAATAACAAAATAAAATTATTTTATCTCTTGTCGTGTTGCAAACTATGTGTTACTAAAGAACAACTATTTACTCTTTCTCACAATTTCACAGGCAGACAGAGCTCAGCTCTTTTGTCCCACATGGTATTGACTGAGAGAAGAGAGTCACAGTTCGCACATGGAGCAAAGGATCTGTCTCAAGAACATATAAATAACTCCCACAAACCAGTAAGCATAAACGACTCAATAGAAAATTGGGCAAAAGATGTGGATAGGAATTTTACACATATAGCCAATAAACATGGAAAAACCCTCAAAATTGTAAGTAATTGAGAAAACAAATCAAAACCTCAAGAAGGTTCCAATTGACACCGCCATATTGGGAAACAATTTAAAATTCTGACAAGACCAAGAATCAGGGAGGCTGTGAAGCCCCAGAACCTCTTGCATGTTGGAGGAGGGGTAGAGAGAGGTACAAATTTGTACAGCCACTTTAGGAAACAAATTGGCATTTTCTCCTAAATGAGAGGCCTGTCAATCAAACTTGCGGATAAACTCAGTCCCCAGGCTTTGTTGACGATCAAACATTCTGTTAATTACCTTGCTAAATTGTGAGGTTTCTTCGTGGAGTGGAGCCTGTTTCACTTTTATTTGTTTCTTTGCTGCTTCCTGTAGATCGACATGCCAGGTGCTGGTCTGCTTGGTCTATCTTGACATCAAATCATGATCTCAGCATGGGAACAGTGCTCATCCCCGTTTCCCTCGAAGCATCTTAAAAAGCAAATTCTCAGGGCTGTTCTCTTAAGTCCCTGCAACTGATCAATATCAATGTCTCATTGGCACAGGCGCTTAACACCAGCCCTGATATCAGTTCCCCCACATTGAACCCAGCATATATGGGGTTAAAACTAAAACCCACCACCCCCTTTCCTGCTTCTCTAGCTCCACTCATATGTAAATACCTGTTTCTTTAACCTTTGACTCCTTGAGCTTTACAACTAAATAGGAGTTATAAATTGCTAAAAAGCCCAGGAGGCCTGGAGTTGGAGGCACACTGAAGTTTAGCTAATCATGTGTCCTTGAAGTTTGCCAGGAAAGCTGCTGACTCAAGAATATCAAGGAACGGAGGCTTCCCAGACCTCAGCTCCTCAACCCGCCTCAAGCAGGAAGAGGAGACAGCGGCAAAGGACGCCCACCTGCCCTCCTCCTGTCTCATCATCCCTCCCGCCTCGCTGCAAGCAGCCTCTCAAAGCCAAGCGCAGGCTGGAGGAAAAGCGCCGACCTGCACAAGCTACATGTTCCCCATCCCCTACCCAAAAGCCCAAATAAAAATCCCTACCCGTTCCTCATCAGAGAGCTGGCAATTTTTGAGTCATGAGCCCTTGCTTTGCTCCCTGTGTCTGGAATAGTAAAAACTTTCCTCTTCCACTCAAGACTCTGTTCTCGTTATTTGGATTGGCATCGGGTTCAGGGACCGAACTTTCGGTTACATTATCAATGTATTCCGCATTCCTGAGTCCTACTCCTTGCTTTCGAGATCACTGAGAATGATCTCCCAGTCTTTACTATTGTGGACCACACATTGGGATTTGGTTTTGCACAGCTATTCCTTTAAAAGTCCTTGCATGTGTATTGCATTTCTTGTTATCTCTTCAGTGTCATGGTAACCCCCACATGCTGGGCAGAGCAAGGACGACCATCTCCACTTTACAAACGGGAAACGTCACTTGCCTCATGTCCTACAGCGAGTAATTGGGTCCAATAGGATTGGGTCCAATACCCAGATGGTCTTGATGCGGGGTCGGTGAGCCGAGTCGTCGAAAGAAAGATTTCTTAGACTCTCAAGATCTGGCAGGAGTGCTCTTTTATTTAGAGAATAGTGTGGAATAGCATGGGGACAGGACCCATGGGCAGTCAGAGCTTCTGCTGCTGCTGCTTCTGCTGCCCCCGCTGGCATGGGGACAGGACCCATGGGCAGGCAGAGCTGGTGCGTGGGGACAGGACCCACGGCAGTCAGAGCTCCTGCTGCTGCCCCGAGTTGAGGGTTAGGGCTAAATTTAAGGCATAGGTATGTGAGTTATCTCTTTACAAGACAAAGAATATGTAAAAAAGTTAAAATGGTATCGGTGCCCGTTTGGTCTGGCCATTTGGCAGTCCCACAACTTTTAGATAAGAATCAAACCGGATTGAGTAAATGGCAGAAGTCACCACTTGAATTTTATCCTCGGCTAAAGACAAAGGAGGATTTGTGGGGGGGAGGGTGAGTTACATGAGGTTGCCAGACAGTAACCAACTTAAGTTCTTGCCTCTGGCATTGATTAAGAGCTTCTAGAGATAAGACCATCCCCCCTTCTTCCTGGCACAGAGAGGGAGGCATCTTCACAGATAGAGGTTTCCCTTAGAAATGTAAATGTTTCCCAACAAAGGGGCAAACAAATTCCACTCCTTGGAGCCTGAATCTCATCTGTAGTTTTAAAACTAACCAGCCTAAAAATCCTCATCATAAGCCATTTTAAAATTAAGCAGCCTAAAAATCCTCATCAGTCTGACTCCTGATCCAGGACATTTTTATTCAGATTTTACTGCAAGTAGAAATAACTTTGGTGACTGAGTTTTGAGAATGTGTACAATTTGAGTTGCTTGTCTACCAAAGGAAACAATGATGCCTTTCACATGCAAATCACTTTTCTTCCTAGGATAACAGCTCCCAACACCATTTTCCACATGCTTACAAACAATAGCAGCTGGTGTTAAGGTCTCAAGTAAATGAAGTAAGATCCTCGTTGTTTTAGGGCTCTGGTCTGCAACTGAGCAATTCATCTCCATGAAATATTTCCTGGCACTATCCTAGAACATTGAGAAGGAGGCTCACCTAAAAGTACTTTTTTCCTCTATCTGTGTCGTGAAAATGGCAGTCTTGCTTGGTCTCATTCACCTGGTGTCCCAGATTGTATTTTCCAAAAATAGCCACAGAAGTAGCTAGAGTCCTGCTTACTCAACAGACAGTTACCAGGTTAATTTCTCTCCCTTCAAATATCAGTGAGGGTTTATGACTGTTCTGACAAAGAGCACAGCAGAAGAGATGATCTGTGACTTCCTGGCCAGGTCATTAGAAGGCTGTAACTTCTTTTTGGCTCTCTGGCTCTTTGAGGATGCTCACTCTGGGGTTAGCCAGTCACCATGCTGTGAGGTCTACGCCAAGAGGCCACGTGGAGAGAAACTCAGTTCCCTCCTCCCTCAGCTGATAGCCCTCAGGAACTAACAGAGAGATGAGTGAACAAGTCTTCAGATGATTCTAACTCCAAGCCTTTGAGTATTCCAGCTGATGCTTGAGGCACCAGAGCATCGTTGTCTGAATTCCTGACCCACAGAATCTACAAAGACAATAAGCAGCTGTTTTACATCATTAGGTTTTGGGGTAATTAGTTATGCAACTTTAGCAGTTAGAATATGGACCAAAAAAAGACTGAAAAACACTCTGCA